AGACGACTGCGTGCGAACAAATGGTATCAGATACTTATCCAACATCAACGCGCTGAAGGAGACGGAACTAGGTGTTACAGTGGAACGGACGCGAAAACTCTGCGAGTAATTTAACTTGGTTGTAAAAGAGATACTCCTTTCACTTTGACTTTTAGTTACTGACAATATTTGAAAGAAGAATAAAAAATTATGTCTTCGTTAATAACAATTTATGATGATGATTTTCAAAGAGATCAAGTTATATCACTATATGAAAAATAGGAAAATCTTATTACCATTTGATAAATTTAAAAATAATTTAAAAATAATCAGTTCTAATAAAATTTAATATTTTCTTAAATGATATGATAGGTTTCAAAGCTACCTTTTTTTTAACGATCGTCAACGATTTTCTCTTTTTACGATCATTAAAAAGATATCAAATGGTCCTCTGGGAAATTATTGAAGACACTGGAAATATAATAGACGTCAGAGATTGGAAAATTGATTAATACGCAAGCTTAATTGTAAATTAACAGAAATCTCGATAGTTGCAGTCTTGGAGTTTCTATAAGAAAATTTGTATGTTTATGTTGTTAGTTTATGTTGTTAGATCTATCGCACAGGAGGAGTTAGGTTTGTTTTGCTTGGTAACTATTAAGGGACAGAAATTAGATTTAAGGAGAGGTCGAATATTCCAGGGGCTCATTAATTAAAGTGACGTTAACTGACGCTGCCGGAGACAGTTGAGTTGCATGAACATTCGGTGATCACGAGAGGACGATGCAAATCGTTCAAATAATCACGAGGTACGATAAAGCTTAAAGAGGAACATGGGTAACGAGGCGGACCTTGGCCCCTTACTCCTATAACGATAAGCATTCGCGTAACGATAGGTACTCACGTATTAGACGTGACATTAACGTTAACAAACCAATGGTTAACAAACCATTCAAGAGTCAATTCTTGGACAATCTATTCAATGGAAATATTAGCAACCACCGTGGTCTTGGTTAAGTCTTAGTTAGAAAGTTATTTTAGATCTACTGTTTTGAAAACAGTGACTAAAGATTCTGAAATTCTATTAATTAGGTTGTATGAACCACATAAACATTTCGGAAATAATAACCTTCTGAAAATTATATTGTACCCTATTGTACCCTATTGGGTGAATGAAATATAAATTACTATTATAAATGAAAATGTGTAAATTTCAATCCTCCAACAAATTTTCTGTCATTAATTCACTATAAACTTTTACAAGATGTTTTTTATATAAACAATCATCACTTTTCTTATTCACTGTATCTTATTTAATTTCATATTTCAAAAGACGTATTTTAATGAAACTATTTATTTAATTATGTGTATGTCATTACTTTTTTTTATTGGAACTTGTTAAAGGATATGTGTTAAATTTAAATGAAATAAATAGTATAGCAATGATAATGATAATAATGAAATTTGTTAAACGTTTCAGTTTTTGGATTGTTACCATGAAATATTATTTTTATACGATGAAACATTTGTGATAACGCTTCTGTTGAATTTGAGACTCTGTAAATGCTTCGAAGTTTTGCGAAAGCGTCGAGCAAATTGCGGATACTAGTTCGGCTGGAGAGTTTCATCATTTGAGAGCCAAGAGTGGGTCATCCGATTAAGGTCTTGGACTCATCATCGAAGGTGAGCTCGGTCAATTTTACAATGACACACGCCCACGAAACGCTGTTATCTCTTTGACGCTTGTTAATTTGTTCATTGGCATATGATACGGTCTCTTTTCATTTTCCTACCTCGTTTGGCTGGCAAGAGGATTAATGGAGTCTATTTAAAGTTTGCGAGCCAGTTAACCAGCTACTAAGAAGATATTTTTGCATCTTATGCTACTTAGAAGTTGTTGAATGATAATCGAAATGGAACGATCATTGACGTCGCCATAAATTCGTGTTAGAAGTAGAACATGTTTACAATGGAAATATATTTGTCACGTCATTTAACGTTTCTGTAAATCTGATTAGTAATATTCTATTAAAAATAGATGTTATGATTCGAAGATATCCTTCACTTTTGTAAAGTTAAGAATTTTTATGATAAATAATTTCATTGCTGCAATATGAGAAAATTAGAGATGTGCAAGATCTCGAAAATATTGGTCCCGGCTGAAAATTCTTTTTTTGGGATCGAGTTTGGTTCCTGAAATTTTTGAAATTATAAAGAATGGAGTCTGGAGTATAAATAATCAAATATTTTATTATATTTTATTTCATTTATTTTTGTTTTTTTACTTAAACTTATAAACAAACTTACTTTTATTTAACACTAGAACTACTAAACATTTAATACAATCCATGTGTAATTTTCGTACAAATTATAACAATAGGTTTTTCTCGGTTTCTTTAGATATTCTTTACGTTATTCAAGTAAAACTGTATAGTTTGAAAATCGTTTCGGATATTTACTACTTTTAAGATATTAATAAGTGCGAAATGAGAAAATTGAAACTAATCATTTTGACTGGTAAGGTGGTTCTAATGTTAAGTTCAATTCTTTCAGGAACCTAATCCGCTCCGACTCGACCCGATCATCGAGTTCTCGTTCACCTTTAGAGAGAATGTAACAAAATACCTTCATCTTGCAGTTATTAGAAAATTATGTCACTCTTATATGAGATTAAGTTCAGTACGCATATTATCATATTATATGAAGCTTACACTACAATTAGAGATGAAATGAAATGTATTATGATCACGTTCAAATTTGACTCGCTAATTTCAGAGAATACTTTCAATTGGAAAAACGATGACTTTAAGTATTATTATTTAGTCTGTTGAGGTATATACTTGATATTTTTAGATGTACCGTAAATTTAAAATAGATTTAAACTCATCTTCATGGGTTTTATAATGAATATTTTAGTTACAGTCATAATGGTTGTTTGAAACTGTAATCACGATGAAAGTATGATACAAGTTACATAATTCTTTGTCGAGACTTAAGAATTTAATTTCATGCTAATACAGGATACAGATATAGATATTTTATAGAGATTTATGTGATGCTAAAAGGTTAAGGTAATAATCCATCCAATAAATCATGCTTCTTCAGCTTACGTTTCATGGAATAAATTGTTTTGATTTTATAAGGTTTTTCTAAATTATAACACGGTAGTCTTGTAATTAATAGCTTTTAGAATCGAAAAATTAACAACTAGTACTTTTTTCATAAATTTTTCAATATTAACCGAAATTACAATAAGTTAACAATTTATGGTGAGTAATATAACGTAAAAATATTCTTTGGAATTATTATTACTAAAACAGAAATTGTTTCTGATTATTATATCTTCTGATTAATATATTCTTGATTATCATATCAAGTCAGTCCATATATTGTCTCGTATTTTCCTCACAGTAATGAATCATCGATTCTCTTTTTGTAAAACAATACAGTCGCGAACAAGTTGTCATTTGTTTAGAACGCGCACTCAAATAATTAGTATATCGCCAGCTTTCATATAGTTCATATGCAAATAAGAGCACATAGAGATGGATATTGATAATCAATACAAACGACATGTTTCATATTTTTTATTTTTAACTGGTGGAAATGCCAGATCGGAGTCGGATAAAATAAACAGTGTTCATAATGAGATAATTTTAAGTGTAAGGATTGCTGAAGGGTGGTTCAAAAAAATCAAGAATGAAAAAAGAAAGTGTTGATGAACCCTGATCTAGTCGTTCTGTTGGCTTTGATAACGACATTTTAAAGCCTTGTAGATACAGAGCCACATCTAACAGCAGATGAGATTAGCGAAATGCTTAATTCTTCTCATGGAATAGTATTTCGTCACTGAAAAGAAATAGGAAAAATATCTAAGCTAGGGAAGTGGGTATTACGCGAACTATCGGAAAATAATTGCCCACAACGAGTAAGCATCTGTACTTCTTTACTAACACGATTTGAATGCGACGCATTTTTGGATCGTATTGTGACGGAGGACGAAAATGGATGCTGTACCACAATATGAAAAGAAAAAGACAATGAATTGATGAAACATCCAAATTATTATTCGAGTTAATTCGGTATAATAATTTTTAGTGCAACAAAGTTCCGAGTATACTCGGGCTAAAGAGGCAAGTAGTTAGTACTTATATGTTATTCTATCATAATACACCATAACAATAAAGGGTTACCATCAAATAAATAAATATTATTAATATTATATAGCTCAAATATTAAGAAGCTTAAACCCTAGAACGATTAGAAGCGAGAGCTTCCCAAGCTTAACGCTTACAAAATGTTAAAAATATACTTTTATGATAAACATACTACATTTTCAAATTTTACCGCCACTTGTACCTTTACCTTGAACAATAAAGAATGCATTTTAATTTAGAATTAATAATGATATTATTTTCCAAAAATTATGAAAATATATAGTTACCTACGTTAATCATTTTCGACAGCCTCTAAGGGTAGCTTTCCTAAGAATAATAAGCCAGTTGCTTTTCCCTCATGTATTAATAAAACATTCAAATCTATCCCTCAAATCCCTCCCACAGCGAATTAGTAAAATAAAAACCATCAAAAATCAAATTTTCTTTCAACCAACCGATAGGAACATCAATAAAACCATGTTACTCACGCCGAAACAACTTCCATCCCCTGTTTACACCCCTGAAAAATAACTCATGCAGTTTCTAATCTGTCCAATTCAATTATACTTCATCCCATTCCCAATTACAATGCGAAAATGCATCCAGCAGCTACGACTGCCGTTACACATAATATTCACCGATCCTCAGTACATGAAACATAAAATTCCACGGAAACCCGTCTGAAATCGTTGCAATGATGATGGAAAAGCATCCCGAATTCATGACAGCGTATTCGCCAAGATGGCGAGGCGCGTGTTCCGCCTGATGCGGTCGCTGGTGGTACTCGTGGCTTCCGTTCCGGCTCGCTCGGGGAAGGCAAGCGAATCTGTCCGGTCAAGAATCGTGCGCGTAACAAACACCAACCTGTTCGCTGCGTGACGTCGTCGTCGTCGTTCTGCTGCAATCTGGTGCCGGCGTCGTCCTTGCCCGGATTCACCTGCACATCCGTCATTTTCTCCACGGTCGACGACTCTGCGTGTCGCTGCCTCTTTCGTTGTGACACGGGAGGATCCTCTCGTTTTCGTTCGGTGATCTACGCACTCCTCGTACCCGGCGAGCGCGTCTTCGCGCTAGTAAGTCCCAACGTCTCGCCGCGAAACCGTTCGCCACGAAACGGGAAACGGTGATCCGCTAGGTCTCAGTGTCGCTGTTTTCCCTCCTCCCTTATTTTCCCTGCCTTCGTTTTTCTGTCTCTACGGCGCGTTTTCTCGTTAGCCGACGGGACGATAACGCACCGCGAAATGAGAAGACGAAACGCGCGACACTTGCGACGCGTTTGAACTGACTGGCTCGACCGCCGGCTTTCCGGGATCACCCGAAGGCTCCACGCCTCGCCATCGGAAATCGCCGAGCGTTTACGAACCGCCTGCACTATACGTGCGTTTCTCACAGGTAAATACACCGAGAGACGCGCGCGGAGAGTCGCGTCCCGTAGACGGGGTGATTGCGATCTGCGCATCGTACGTTCACCCTCTTCGCAGACGGGCCGCTACCCTTGATGTTTAAGGGGTAGTCTCTTGGTAGAAGCGCCTCTTTATTGTTTCGGATTTTCTTTTCACCCTTGCTCGCCGAATGCTGGGGCGTTGCGCGTGAGTTTATATGTTTTCCTATTTGTTAACCCTTTGCACCCCTATAAGTTGCCATACGATTTGATGCAGGATGATAAAGTTTAATATTTTGCCAAGAATAGGCGGCAAACAGATTTTATTTGCCCTAAAGCATAGAATAATTTATTCCGTTTCTGTTATTTGAAATATTTTCCTTGAAAGCAACATTCTTTAATCCTCGAATCATCACGATGCGGATGACAGGCTCGTGTTTTAGTTACTCATCAATGAAAAAGCTTCAGCCTTTCACCAGTGCATCCGTTTATGAACCTGTCGAGCCATTCATAGACACTGCTTTATAGCAGCATCTATATTTTTCCGATATTACACTACAACTCTTGGATAGATTTCAGCCTTTGATACATAACAATTGGATCGCAGTTCACTGTTCTCCTTTGGAGCACTGTAGTGGATATATTTACACGATAGAACCTCGATTAACCAAGTCACTATTTTTCACGATCCAAATCTTTTGAAGCATTGGTTACTCATAAACTCAATATCTCGGATTTTTAGGTTATACCTCAACATATATACGATCGAATTTTGCAAAGATCCTGTGAAAAACTTTTTCTCGAGTTACCACGTATCTGGACTCTTAATTGTCCAATTAAATCAGATAATCAAGGTTCTATTGTACTCTGAAACCAAATATTACAAGTATACTATTAAGTTGAAACATATACAAATTGTAAAAAGAAATTTGAAATTTGAAACACGCAAATTGCAAAAAATTCTAATTGTTCTCAATTAAAGAGTGACTGATACTCTTATATTTAATTCATTATGGATTAGAAAGAAATTATTTGTGATAATTTTTTTTAGAACTATTGAAAATTAATTTTTTTTACTGCGGAAGCATAAGATATCTGGAAGTCAGAATTTTGAAAAACTGCAGGAACTTAATATCGTTTGTCTCAGAAAATATTAATTTATATATCTATGAACTTCTGAAGTTGTATTCATACGTGCATTTATTATTTGTTGAATGTATGCAAGTTTTGGAAACTCCTTGGTAAACTTTTCTTAACGAGATTGCATTCGTACAGTTCTTTTAGTGAAAATCAAAATATAACCTTTTTTACTTCCTATATATAAAATAAACATATATGGATAAAATATGTTTTTTATTAATTCTTTTATTCAGTACAAATTATGAGTATATAGAGTGTTGTAGGATGTAACTTCTATACTTAATCATATGAAATCAATTGTGATTGTGATTCTACCACTCATGTAAAAATTACATTTAAAATTGTATTCCACTATCCTTTAATAAAATAGAATACGTTTGGAATAATCAGATTTTACAATTTAAAATGTAAACGAGTAAAATTTTAAATTATAATCTTTTATAAGTTTTAGTAATGAAATGCAATAATGTAAATTGAAAAAATAAAAATTATGCTCTTCTACACTTGTATAATGTCCTCAACTATAAAACCATTTAATATTATTCTTTTTTTTTAATTTGATAAAAGCTGATAATAAAGAACTTGTGAGAGTAATATAGGATTGATAGCCCTCTAGTAGTGACTGTTGGAACTAGTGTCACTTTTGGTTCTATCGGCAATAATTACCCTTCATGCGCATTCATACGTTCTTATCGTTAAATATTCTTTTGTATTAATTACAATCGAAACTCTTTTAAACATTTATAATACTTCTCATAATCCTACTATTCGAAGATTATTATCTCACGAATATTTAAGGTAGCATCTACTGCAAATCCTATTCTGTTAATATTAACATAGTAAAATTATTTATTTCAGATAAAAATATATTGTTAGAATATTATTTACATTATAGTTATAGTATTATTTTAATATTCTTTAAACTTTTGCACATTAGGTATATAACTATCAAAATAGATAATGAATAAATTACCAACCCACGAATAAACAAATATAAGAATCATAGCAGAAAATCCTTGACAACGTTAACTTTTGGCACTCCTCGTTACTCGAGGGGTGTAGTTTATTTAATTAACGTTAAGATGTAAAATAACATAGATCCTTTCGTTCGGTTCTGTACAACATTAATACATAGTCACGTATATTATATGAAGGTATTCATTTATTTATTTATTAATTTATTTTACATTATTCTCATTAAAAATATATTTAGCCTTACAACAGTACAGTACGCACCAAACAGAAGAACATTGGTTCTCCGTGTGTTCTTTGAACAGTTCACATAAATTGTTTTTACATACACAGGATTCGGTTTGGTCTTGAAATTTGAAATTTTACATATCTCTGTCGAAGGACTCGATGATGATGATAACGTTGTCGATTCAGAATGTTCCATTATTTTCTTTTTTGGTTTTTGTTTACGCGTCAAGGTGAAACGTATTTATGCTGAGGCGCGTTTGATGACTTTAAACAGGGGATGAATGGTGTGATGAATATTACGAACAGACATGTTCCTCGTTGACGTGGAGTTTGCCGATGGATGAATGCCAGCGCGGCAATCGCGATGTCACTTCATTCTTCTGATCTGTTGCACAGTCTACGAAGGAACGCTAGAAATAAACCGGATCAATATTATTTTCAATTCACGGAGAAAGAATGGCACAAGTTGATTGACAATCTGAGCAGTGACAAAAATATGTACAATTGTCGTAAGACGCGGTCTCGTGAACCGGTGCAGTCAATCAAACTTCGTGCCGGATACACAGATGTAAGCAAGACTGAACATGATAAGCAGTAAAACGTGTGGACTTGCAATATCCCCGTATTATACATTTGAATCATCTTAAAAGTCTGCAGATTTTCAAGTAAATATGCTCTGTGAACTAACTGATAAAAATTACGATCGATATGATTTAATTTTCTAATATTGCGATATAAACAGTAGCATGAAAGTATTATATCATATTAGAGAATTTGATATCATGGAAAAACTAAATGATCTTAATTAGAATCTTTACCATAAGTGTATAAAATCCGCAGTTTACATATTAGTCATAATATAATCACATTCAGTTCCAGAAATTCGGAAGAGCTAGAGAAATCCGAATTTTATATTAAGACGTAGACATTTACGACATGAATGCCATTCAGCAAGTAATTAGAAGAATTAATATCTTCAATGTTTGTTGTTCTCTGAATGCAAACATAAACGTATTCTTGAAGAGGTATAGCCGGCTATGTTTCGAAACTGTGAAATTTGTAATTTTATCCGATGTTTCAATGAACAGTTAGTTAATGACACTCATTTTAAGAGAAATGATGCCTGGAGACACAAAACACTGCGATGAATCATTTCAACGTAGAGAAAGAAATTCCGCAAGTAAATGATAGTGTGCGACATCTGAAAATGGCGAGGGTGACAACCGTTTTCGCCCTTTTTAGTCTGCGAATGTCTTTAAGCCTTTGAACGTGTTGCCGTGTGAGAAGCAGGTTATCGATTTCAGCATCCCAGCCACGTCGATTCGTTGCGTCCTATAAATTGCGAGACGTGCGTAACGGAGACAGAGAAACGAAATCATGTTAGTTTAAGCAGAGAAAAAGGTTTTGGAGAACGCCAGGAGAAAAGAGACAGAAGATTTATGGAGCCATAGTGTCTACAGGGTGTACTTACGAACGGCGTGTTTTGTGACATTGAGACCCGGTTTGCTTACAATAGCACCATCATCTTCTTCAAGAATGCTGTAGAACACAAAATACGTGGAAACATCAAATGAGGGGGTTTGGGGGGCCCGAATTCGATCGTTCCCGTGACTCGCCTGGATATTTCCGATTATTAGCTGCTGAAAAATCTCTAAGGGCTTTCTACGCTACGAATTTACACTGGGCAAAACACTAGGAAAATGGAGGTTGGGGATCTTTTATTTTAGAGTTTCTACTGCAAAATCAAAACGCCTACTGACAAGACGAACGCTCGAGCCGACAATTTTCTAGATTAATGTAAATCGTTAATACACTTGGCTAATATTGGTTTCTTGTGTTTGTTCATTTCACGGGATGCATGTGTGGTTTTCGTGTGTGCGATTTGATACTTACGGGCATAGGGGATGAAACCATCGTCGTCCTCTGGGTCCATACAGTCCTTTAGTACGGTCTCTACTTCCGGGTCGGACAGTTTCTCACCTGTCATGATACATGAAATATTGTTTGGTGATGCAATACATATTTATGCTGTGTTTCGAAATTGCATTTCAAATAAATCTTTTGGAAATATTTTTATGTAATATTGTTGTATTACATAATGGTGATTATGTTGTTATATTAATATCATTATTAATAACCTATTCACTGCCAACTACGAGATATCTCGTAGTTTAGGTTTAACTCAAAAGTTAATTTTGAGATTTCTCAAAATTTGCTTGGCAGTGAATGTGTTAAAACATATTTGTATAGTTCGACGATATATATTCCGAAATACTATCTAAGAATGTAAATTATTGTATTTCAATTTAACACCTTCACGACTAGCGTCACGTATTTATAACGCTCAACAGTTTACATCTTGTATAAAGAAAATTAAATTGTTTTCACGTGTATTTTTATTTAATGTCATAACGTATAGTGTAACGCGGAGGAAGTTGACACGATTCTTTCCTTGAATGTTATTTTGATTTTATAAGATCGATTTGTTGTATTTAGTAAAATATTGTAACCATACAGATTTCTGCTCAAGCAACCACTGATCGCGAACGTGTTTAGACACTAGACAATCTAGATCAATGTTCCTCAACCTTTTTAGACCTGCGGTCCGACGAAAATGGGAAAAATATTTTATTCATTATCTCTAAAGTTATAAAAAAGGCATATATTTGTTAAAGAACGATCTATTCTTTATTACTGAACAAAAATTATATGGTATTATCTGCAACTGTGGTTGGTGCAGCAATTTTTATGTATACCAAGTAGAATTTTCAATAAGTACCATAATTGCAGCTAATATCGGCCAATTTTTGTTCTATATTAACGAATAGGCTTTGCTATTTTCAATAATACCAAAAACAACACCGAATTCTGCTAAATAAGCCTTATACAAACGATTTCATTAGAAAAATATTCTTTTCTCCGTTTGGGAGGGAAATGTCCCGTAGTGCGTCGGTCCGCGGACCATCGGTTGAAGATCACTGTTCTAGATCACGGAGAATTGTGACTCGGACATCGAAGTCCCACTCTATGTAAACACTTAAATGGAAGGTTGAATAATATGTTTTAATGAATCATAATATTATATATAAAAAATTAACGTACCGAGTGTGAGCAGTGTGTGCGAAAGTTCCGCAGCCAACATGGTGCCATTCTCCTGTTTATCATAAAGTTTCAAACACTCGAGGAAATCTTCGTAGCATCCCTGTTCCTTGTCCTTCTTGCATTGGCTGTAAATCGGCAAGAATTCATCGAGTTTCATTATTTTCTCGCCTTTCTTCTTCGTTCCGCCAAGCTTTTCAATGGTAGCGTTTGTGGGGTTTAAGTTGAGGGCTCGAAGGACATTTCCAAGGTCGGTGGCATCGATGACGTTGGTGCCATCAGCATCGTAAATCGAAAAGGCGAATTCAGCCTCTATTTAGACAAAAACATGAATATGGTATTTATTGTCCATTTTCAAAGTTAATAAATTTAAGACTATCGAAATTTATCTATTGAAATAAGAAAGAAACTTAACAGGGTTTGAGAACAATTTAGTTTATCTCTTTTATATACGGTGATTTGATTTATGGAGTTTTTACCAGATGTTGCTTATAAAATATCTGTTAGATTAACACTGAGACTACCGAAGGTTTAATATGATTAATATGCAATCCTTATAAAAATTGCAACAATATATTTTTTTCCGGGTTTTCCATACATTCAGTATAGTATTCAAGTGAATCTATTTATTTTTAAAATCATTTCGGATATTTTACGCTCTTGAGATATCAATAATTGTGGAATAAGGAAACTAAAATCCGTTATTTTGACGGGTGAAGTAGTTCTAGCATTGAAAAATATAAAGGGGGACAAGGTAAAATTGGAAATAAAAGGAAAGAAGAAGAGAGAATAATGAAAGAATTTAAATGAAGAATATTAGCTCTAAGAATAGACACGAGATGTTGAAATCTCAATAAATATATTAAATAGGAAGAAGACATTATTGTAAGATTTAATAATATTTGGAAAATTTTTTAAATTAAGTTACGTTTATTTAATGTATTTAATTATGAAGTCGACATATCCAGACAGATATTTAATACTAATTATTCAAAAAATGTTGTATCATAGTTAAGATAGAATACTATTAGATCTCATATTTCACCAATTGAAATGTCAGGAAAAGCAGAACACACTAATAACAAGGAATTGGAAATTTTACGGATACCCGATATTTCGGGTATAGCCTGATTTGTTAGCTGATTCTTTCAAATTTTAAGGATACAAAGTGTTAACCAAGATCTCTTCCGTATTATATTAATTCCATCGTATCCTTCAATATTATTCCGAAGACTGCGAGAAAGGTGGAGAAGTAATCAAGAAGAATAACCAGAAGAGACTGGAGATATTTTTGCATTTCAAATATGTATTAATTAAAAAATTATTGTATTAATTAATGTACAATTAAGTATTTAAATATATTTTCATTAATCAACTTAATGCTATAAGTAACGCAATGTCGTTTAAGTAGTAAAAGACACTTCAATTTCATTAAACAGAAACAAATATTTCTTTATCTTCATTGGTTCAAAAGTAATGGATTTTCTATCACTGAAACACTAATTATTCCCATTGTGCAACGGAAGTCTTCTGATTATATTTAAATATGTATTGACAAATTCCAAAATTTTCCACACCAGACAAACGATGGATACATTCTAACAAGAAATGTAACGGACAAAGACATTATTTCAATATGAAATCAACTCACTAAATCTTTTGTTTCCGTTAAATTGTGAAGTTAAGTAAGTACACATAATTACCATATTTGTATTCAGTACGGAAACGAATATAATTACAAGCTTATATTTTTATTTTCCAATTTTTGCAGTACCTAATATTGAATAAATTACTACATAGATTTTACAAGAATATGTGTAATCTACTTACTTATACAGATTGCACACTATTTTAGTGGAAAGAATATTTTCTTGATTAGTGAAAAAGTCTCCGAAATTCAAGTAAATGAAACATTTCACTTCCTGTGGTCTGTGCAAGTAATTTTATTGTTACTTGATGACGAACATTTCCGTTTGTAATCATTTTTACTATTTTCTAACGAGATATAACTAACAGATATATTCAATAAATTAAGTTATTGCTGCAAAGGTAAAGCAGTTTATTATACTCGTTAAGAATTAATGTCATCAAATTTTAATTGAATAATACACGCCGTCCACTTATTTAGAAATCATATAACGTCTAATCACATCTGCTATCATAATATTCCATTTCGCATTCAACGATACTACATGATATTTTAACTTTTAGCGATAATTATTTAATTACACAGATTTTAGAAATCAATGTCCACCAGTTAAGAATTTCTTAATTAATTTTTTAATAGCGTGTATCAAGGTCTAATAGTTTCTTAGAATCATCACTCAAAAGAAAATTATTAACTTCTTCCTCATATAGTCATAGAGAAACCTAAACTTCCGGTATATAGCTGAAGTGTCGTCATTCGGAAACAGAGAGACTCCAAAATGCAAGCTATTAACGAATAACATTATTAGGTGAACGGTGAAAAATGAGAATTCATCGATAATTTGAAATAAAGAATTTACGATGCAAAATCCGGGTTAATATCAGCTGAAGCGTGGCTCTTCACGCGTACCTGGTTCAAAAATATTGTTCTATTTTAAGACGTCAGCGACTTCCACCCGGCAACCAATTCAAGAACTCGCCGGTGGAAGTAGTGGGTCATATTACCCCCGCCGAGCCATATAAGAACAGAGCACTATTTTTGAAATGGTGCTACGCATTCGGGGTGGTTACATCTCTGCTTTACCGGTTACTGCCAATTACGTAATGTGTGATTGCCACGTGACATTCAAAGGCTATGCGCCCCATATAAGATGCAATGAAATGCATTAACATATGGTAAAACGCAATTGAAAATTCTGCATTCAGTATCTACTTCTTCCCTTACAATCGAACTCGTGAAAGTTACTTCACATAAAATTTAGTTTAACGATGTTTAGTTAACTAAATGCAAATTTTATTTAATCTTTTCAGTTCTCAATCAACCCTAGAATGGCAGCGTGATTTTTTCATGCATATAGAAGTATCGTATACGACTCCAATAAATTAATTAGCATTAGTTAAAGATTTTAAGAAATATGTCAGATTATATTTCACAGTTTAAGCTGTATTTATTTAATGTTACATTGCCACTGCCTAAGCGATATTCGATCCAGTGTTTCAGTTACTTCTGCTTATTTGAAAGATACAGTGAGTTGCAAGCCGTTTCAAGTGAAATAACCGACGATATTATTGGCGTCACCACGCTACTGTTCTAAGGCTCAATATTAGTTTTCAGTTATCAATTTACTTTATATTAAATTATACTTCATAGTAAATAGTTCAGTGTAAACCTGGTGATACAATGGAATTGTTTCTTTTTCGATTAAATTAAAAATTCAATTCTACCTAATGCAGTTATAAAAGAAATCATAGGGTAAAAGGTTACATATCGCGAGAAGTTTGAACTTTAGAAATACTAAACTTTCGGACTAAACAATGTATCTGTTTCCGCAATCATTTATTTTTGACTTCGTAACCATTCCTCTAAAGCAATAATATCTCGAATCGAAATAAAATTAATGCTTTCTTATGAATCTTAAAGGCTTAGACGACAATAAATGTTAAAATGAAATATAAATTCGTCATCTCAAGAAGTGGTCTCAAGAAGTGTTCGTTCTAAATTTTTTTAGGATTGAATTCTGAAGCAGCTTCATTTGGTAATGTTGCTGGTACAACCCTCGAACATCGTTCAGGTAATACGATCCAAAAGCAGAACTTCTTTTCTTATACCTTTTGTTTACGGAAATATATAATATCGCCAGTTAATTGAACATATGTAATTTAATATTATCAGTTTCCATTTCTTTCCTGTATCGATATCCCTTCAATTCAACTCAATTCAGCTCAATTCACAAAAATATTAATGTGATAATTATCTGAACAGCAAACACGGATTAATTGTGTTGCGGATTTCGCAGTTGAATTTCTAACGGAACTTCTTTTATTCTTTTATCGGGTACTTTAAAGTTACTCCTCTCGCAGCATTGAAATCTCAATTTTCCCCACTTTCGTTTAAATGGTGTCACACAATTTCGGAGCGCGTATTAGATTATACCGCGAAATTCACTCCATACATCACCATTACTCCAAAAACTGATGTTTCGTAACGTCCCTTATTCCCTACTTCCGTTGCACAAGCAAGATCAAACACGTACACACAAATCAAATATTCCTCGTATATTTTTACTCACTTTCGACGTCTTTGCTGCTCAGGTCTGCCTGCAATGCAAAAGAAACACCATTAAACAATTGCGATCATAGATCCTTCAAAATTTTCCAACGGAAATGGACGAGGAATTTCAAATTTTCAAAAATTCTATCGTGGAAGTCTGAATCGAAGAGATGAATCAAGAATAAAGTAATAAGAGGAGTGGAATAATTAACATAAAATTAATAGGATAAATGAGATGGAAACGCAGTGGAACGGATAAACGAATAAATAAAAAGAAAAGACCGGTAAACGAGTTCCACGAAGGAAACTTGAACTCACCATTGTTTTCTATCTAGCGTACTTTGGATGTTAACCGAACGGATCGCGGGCCAGGAGTGCTACCGGGTGTTACCAAATTTATTCATTTTATTTCTGTAGATGGCGCAGCGGTCAGGACACACGAGAATTACAAGGCGGTACAGCTCGGAAGATTCGGTTCGGATGGACGGAGTAGCGGCAACGCTGCGATCCAAAAACAGTTCGAGAGGTAATCGCGGGTTAAGCTATGCTTCCTACTACGATAAATGGTTTTCGACGATAGCATTCGTTATATCGGGGCTGCCGGACCTGCATATGAGCCATTCACAGGCTAATGTAATCAACTCAAAAATTACCGTGCCAAAACATTTAATTGACACTTTAATCATCTAATTTTAACAATACCCGCAGCTTTCGTGCCGTGGACTTAATCACTTTGGCAAATGAATGGCTCACGTGTTGTAGGCGCCATGCAAAAATATACTTAGTGCACCCTTTGACGCAAGCTACCGTCATGGCCTTACAAGGGAACCTTTTCAACCAGCACACGCCGATTTTGATGAAACTTATGCGCGGCATAGTTCTCAAGAAAATATTTCACACGTATTTTTTCTTGTCGACCAACATCCACTTTGAACGAGTGGAAATGCCCTTCAAAATTAAGGGTTGAAGATATCTTTGAAACTAGGGGACGCAGAAAAGAAATCTGAAGTGTTCATTTTGAGGCGAACAATTTCGACGGAAAATTTCTTTCCTACACCCCTCAGTTTCGGAGATATTGTAAAACATATACTTTCAATCCTCAAATTTGAGGGGTGTTTTTAGACTTACATGTGTATGTAGGCCGACAAGAAAAAATACGTGGCAAATATTTCCTTGAGAACTATGTCTCGCATAAGTTTCATCAAAATCGACGTGTGCTGGTTGAAAAGGTTTTGTTAGTATCACTTACCACCACACACGAAAAATATTCGTTGGGATGAACGATACTTTGCAATAGTTGTTTTCAGTAATGGTGAAGACAAATGTAGTACTAGCACTATCGAGTACTTAAAGTGACTTTTTCAAGTTCCTTTATAGAAACTATGAGTAAGCTTTTATTAAGATTTCAGTTGAATTACATTTCAGTTTAGGTATCATTGAATCAGCTTTATTAACCTTTTCTCACAAAAGTGTCTGTACGTTTTCTGTAATTGTAAAAGAGGAATTAGGAATGAGTAATTTTGACCCATCTGGTGGTTCTACTGTTAATATTAAAGGTTGACATGTATAAATAAACTGTTAACATAAAAGTGAATATGTTTTTTCATTATTGTACCACCAAGAAGTGAATTAGAAAATCATTTTAAGATGTTGGACAAGGTTTTGCAGAAATTTTTGTTTATTTATTAGTTCGAGCTTTTTAATATCAATGATTTTTAGTCCATTTTGTAAGAGGTCACAAATCATTGTTTGTAATTAATGTAACTAAATTCCAGTAATATTGTTTCTTTCAGAAAATATTCAATTTTTTACAACCAGTATATATCATTGAATACTACATCATTTCATACTTGGAATAACAAAGGATAGCTGTTTTTACATCGAAACTTCTATTATCTGCAATCTTATGTTCTCCTTTTTGCACACGGTGTTATATTTCATTTATAAATGATCTAAAACTAATTTCTTCACTGATTCCGTTAACGATTTAATTCAACGCGTTCTGCTAGGTGCAGTAATTTTGGCTCGTACCTTAACCCTGCTACGTTCTTCTACGATTGATTAGTCTTTTTTCGGTCTATTAGCGGTATCGATTCGTCAAAGATGCTTTTATCTCATTCTTTAACAAAGTATATAAAACCTGATGCCAATATACATGTTTTTCTTTTTCCAACATTACTTTAAATGTGTCATTGAACTGACCACCATAGTAAAGTTAACCTTCATAGAACCAATGGTAGGGGTGACAACTTCAATAGACATGTTCGATACGTATTTTGTGTTCGAATAACTCTGGTATACAAAATTTAATTTTTTTGTTGTCACAGAAGGTTTAATGAGTGATCTTAACAATATTTCTTATGCTGAATTCGAATATTTATGTTGCTTTTTTCCATTACCCAGTTTTTCAACTTTGAACATTTGTTGTGGCTCAATTATGAAAATTTTTCAAACTTTTCTTGCATACTATCATTCTTTGGATCTTCTTGAACACAATTATGTAAATTTTAATGGCATTATAAACGTTTAAACATGTTTAAACAATGCCGAAAAGCAAAACGGCACATGAACCGCACCGATTTTTGCGGACATTTTTCAAGTTTTCTTAAAAACTAAGCATCTAGGAGACAATCTAGTTTCGACATACGATATGACAGACGTTTATTTTGTGAACTTCGTTGCAAAAAGATCGAACGATCGAATTTAATCAAAGGCATTAATATGTAAGATTCATTTCTATTTAGTATAATTTTGTTTCATCAACATATAATGTATGTATAGTGTAATAATGTGTAGCATAATATAAAGTGTAATAGTATAAGATGTACAGTGTAATGATCAAATAATACCAGTATTTAAATAAAAAGAAGACTGTTATACATGCCGGTTATTATTGGAATTTAACATTCAATAAAAATGACTCTTACGAACGTCAGTCAAGAATTCCATCACGAATAATTTGTACACAGTGAGTGTAATAATAAAAAAAATATATATATAGTAAAATTTAACACCAGAACTACCAAGCGGTAAAATCGTATAACACGTATTACCGTATACAAATTACAAAAATGTATTTGTTAAAATTTCTACAGAATTATATTTTAGATTGCACATTAGTGAATCAGTTTACCGAAAAATTTTTCAGAAATACCTCTGTATCTTTAAATTGTAAAGACAAAAATTCAAGATGGGTCATTTTGATCTGTCTGATAGTTTTAGTGTTAACATTCTGGTGTTGGAAATCCCTGTCGGTACATTGCACTTCGCGGTGTTATTATATTTTGGTAATAGTATCTATACTAGAGCTTCCATTTATGACTTCTGTACGAATAGAAACTACTTTATCATATCGTGAAGCCATTTCATGCTTTTTTCAAAATAAACTGAGAAATATTCGTAAAAATTGGCACATAACAGGTTTCTGGCTCGATTCGAAACTCGTTTACATGTACCTAAATGTTCATATTATTTTTAACATACTATTTAAAATACCATGTGTGTAAAAGTGCATCTAATCGTTTTACACTAAAAACTTTTATATAGCCTTTATGGCTAGTGTATGAATGATTAAACAATTCGAGGACTTGATTTAGTTTTCAAAATGATGTTTCTCAAAAATTGGTAACACCGGAGAAAAACAGATCTCAGGTTTGTATTTACCATAGAAAAATGTCTACGAAAGTATCTTACCAAACACTGAAGTACATAAAAAAAGTTGAACTTTATTAAGCAATGTTGCTTACTTGTGTCCTGCGGCTGTTTTCAATATTAGTTACCAAAGAATAGTTCTAAACTGATTAAATAAAGTTTCAAAACCAAATATTTGCTTTCACTCTTTAGGGTAAACCTTGATTACCATTCGAAAAATAAAAAACACTCAGATGTTCGTGTGAAAAAAGTTAATGTATTATAAAGAATTTTTAAGGTACAGGTTCAGTGTATCTTGGTATGAAAACCAAGTCGATCTAGGAACTTTAGGGTCCCTAGGAACGCGAGGAATGTATTTCATGTCTCATATAACGCCGTGAGAGCTTGGCATACGCAAGCGACGCGTTACCCGTACCAGTCGATGACTAAGCCCGGGAGTTATTTTTACCAGCTTCTCGTGGACAAACAAGGCATATCATTCTCAAAAACTAGGTCTACGATTTGACAATAAAATAATTCCATTGCTCGTCACCCGTAAATTCCTTCGAAGGAACAAGCTGCGCGAACCGATGTCCTATCAGTTCTTTCGACGACCGAAAATGGTCCGCAAGATTTTCCGCATTCTGCTGAATATACCTTTCTTCCTCAACTTTTCGGGTTTCGTGCTGGAAATTCTTTTGTTTTTTTCGCACGCGATATCTGGCGAGGAAACAGCGTGGGCTGATAGAGACGAGAGTGCTATTTCTTCTATGGCTACATCCTCCAAGTACGTGTTTGTAAATGGCGTCGAATGCGCAAGGGACAACGATGCTAACTCTTCATGAACGAAATCGGAGGTATCGTTGTTCTTGAAGTTACTTGTTGATGGGAGATCGGTGGTACTTTGGTTTCCTTCGTTCACTTCGTTTGCAGACGCAACAGCTTCCGTATTAATCGACTCGGATTCGATTTCTTCCGCGACACCGGCTTCCTCTTGCGTTTCCAGTTCTTCTATCATTCGATGCAACACGGTACCAGATATTCTAGCTACGTCGTTTGATTCGCAATTTTCTCCGACGTTTGGAGTACACGTCGGTTCCGATGGGGTTTCGATAATTGCATTATGCGTTATTTGGTTCACGTCACCTTGCCCCTGAATGATTGGTATTTCTGCGGTCTTGGTTCGTTCCGTTGTTGAAATACTGCAGTCGATATTGTGTGCAACGTGCTTTACCTATAGAAGATACAAGAATTGTGTGGGCAATAGACTATAGCACAGTTGATTTATTTTTGTATGAAATAGAAAATATAATTTCTTTTCTGTTTTGTTTTCTTAAACTAAATTGTGAATCATTCTAATGATTTGTTTTTATTATACATGTAAAATTAAAAATAGGGAGAACGATATTTATTCTTGGAAACAATCGCGTAGAATAATAAATTTGACAAAAATTCAAGCTTGTATGTGTTTGCTTTAGTTAACTTATTTTCATCGTATGAAGATATAAAAAATGTGCACGTATTACGAAATTTTGTTTAATTGAAAATAAATAAATGGCCGAATTATAAGATAGAGATTAATGTACTGAATTTAAAATGAAACAAGTTTGGTTACAGTATTAGATTTAAGTAAAATAAAAACTTTCATTATATTGTATTAAACTTCTTAATGTTTTAAGTTGGTACTAAAATTGTATTAATATAAATATAATTTCTATTATATCGACTGATCAAAATAGAAAATAGTGAAAATTATGTTACTTGTCTTTGATAATTTATAATTTGTCTATTTTAAAAGATGGAATTTTGTTTCAATCATAATTATTCTTATAACAAATAAAATGAATATTGATTTTCGTCACATTATCGAAAATGAAGAACTCCATGGGTGCTACAATAGGCAACAACAAACAATATATTTTAAAATATTCTAATAATACTAAAAATACAAAAAGTCATATGTAAAATGTTTGTATATGTACTTTCATTAAATTTTGAAAAATACATTCCAATTTTTAATTTAAAAAGTGCTTCAGAATTAAAAGACCTTCTTAATCTGAATTGAATTGAAAATTGAATTCTTTTAGATACTCAGAAATATTTCGAATTAAAAACATTAATATGATTTTCACTTTTTACCTGCTTCTCTAAATCAGTCAAAAGAGATGGCACAGAAGGAGAATCTCCAATGCGCAAGTTACGCAATCCACGTACCATCATTTCAATACGTTCCACGGTTTCGTGTTCGATGAGACCAGTGCACGAGTGATCGTGCATATTCGTCGTCGACTGCGTTTCAATATTAGTTAATTCATCTTCGTTCTCCAAACGAAATTT